TATTGAAAATTCTTTGCTTCATATTCCCATTCTCCTGCCCCTGACTCTTCCTTGTTCGTTCCCTTTCCTTTTCTGAACATTCGGGTGCTAAAGCCTTTAGGAAGGTCAGAGTAAGGTTAGCATGCACATCTGGTTTGTGAAGAGGAAGTATGATGGTGCAAAATAGGTTATCAGAGTCCAGGAAAGGTAAGAAGAAGTGAACAGGAAAAGGCCCCTTGGCCTAGGGTCAGAGCCTGAGTTAAAGAGGATTTCCATGCAGAGGGGAGTGAGGTGCAAGTTGTGAGAAAACACTAGGTTGAATGGGGTGTCAGCACTGAGGTGAGACTGTAAGGGTTTGTTAGTATGAGAAGATTAAGAAAGGTGTCCATGCAAAATGGGAAACTGACATGGAGTTTCCAAGCCTGGTGTGTCACAGATAGCATCTATGCCAGGGAGAGAATGATGTGGCAATAGGAAATTATTTACATCAGGGCAACTAATCAAATGGGTACATACCTTTGATAATATGTGGAAAAAGATTTCTCATCACCAGAGAAGGGATTCACAAATACCAAAAGGAAAAATATATAATAAATCTCCTGGTCTTAAATTAGAATAGTCATCATTTTTGTATGTAAGAATTGATGCACAAATTAGTAAAGTTTCCTATATATGTGTTTGTGTGCATACACATAAATACATACCTTTGCTGTCTGCTAGAGGATCTCGAATCAGTGGCACTACAATACAGATGAGCACACCCAGCACATACAACTTGGTTTCTAAACACCAATGATCCTTGGAATGATGGTAGGTTCCATATTGGAGAAAGGAAAAGATAAGGTAAACACAGAACAACTTGTTGATCCAAAAACTAGAAATGTGCTCAAAGCACCAAGGGTTCATCAAAAGTAAATAAGAACAAATTTTGAAAAACTGGAGAAATCTGGGATAGATTGTGTATCAAAATAAAGAATTAAAATAACATATTTTAATACCTTAGTAAGATCTCTGTATTTAAGACTTTATTGCTTTTATAGCTGAGATATTCTCCACTAATATATATACATATTTTCTAACTAGCTATTGTCTCAATATATAGGGATTCAATATCTACATTAGTTTTAAAAGTTACTATGTTGTATTTTAGCTGGGTTTTTTTTTTGCTTGCTTTTAAATATAAATTATATGTCCTTTTCAAAATAGAGGTAATTTTATTTAAATAGAATAATTCAAATAATTTTATTTAAAAATCCAATATAGATAAATATTTTGTCTTAACTAATTTCTTTGGCTAATGATGGGAGATACTCCTCTATAGGTCTCTCGTGCTCCTATACATCTTACTGCTTATGTTACAAAGGTCCTGAGTGTCTGATAATTTTCTCTGATTATTTTGCAGAAATTCCTTTAAAAGATAGGAATTTTTGTCTATTTTTCAGGACAAAAAATAGGCTTGCTTGTCACCTACTATTAAAAGCAATATACTCTCTATACCAAGTGTTCTTCATATACACATTTATATACGAAATACTCATGTTGACCAACATGCAACACCTCCCAACCCCTAATGGATCTTAGAGTAACTTATATCATGCAGCTTACCATGCTATAGTAATACAGTTCTTTTTATTTATTTCGTAAGTTCTGTGTCTATTCCCAAAATGCATATAACAATAGCAGACTAACTTATTAGCTTGTTAGTAGTGTAAAATCAAGCCCAGATCCAACAGCTAATACCTTCAGTATAGTTTTAAATATTGCTGGTAACAGCATTTTATTTTACTGATATTAGAGGGAATGGCTCATTAAATATGATTTTAGATTTTGTGTTGATACACAAAAAATTAATCATATTATGGAATTATCCACTATATTTTTTTATTATTTTTACTCTGAATGTATTTGAATTATACCAATTGCTTTTTAGCATCTGTGGCATTCATCATAAATCCCATTATAGTGGGACAATTAATGTAAGTTATATTAAAATATTTCCTAATACTGAAGCATTCTTGCATTTCGGAAGTAAATTTCACTTTGTATGATGCATTACTTTTAAATGTGCTGTTGCATTCTGTTTGCTTATATTTCATTTAAGATTATTGCATAGGTATTCATGAGTGAAATTGTTCTTTAGTTTTATTCTTAGTACACTCTTTATCAGGCTTTAGTATCTTTGATGACAGAGAAAAGATGCAGAAAAATATTTCAGGCCTTTATAGAACATAATGACTAAAGGTAAAGATGATAGATTTGTGGAATAAATTAAAACTGAAAGGATAATGAGAGTTTGAAATACACTTGCTGTAACTACAGAATGTTGGATGTCCAGTTTATGAATTTTTGTATAAAAAGGACCTGGGATAGCAAACATTTTTTGGAGGAAACTACTTCCTAAAATTGCTTTTCATTATTTATTTATTTATTTGGTTGGGGGGAGTACCCAGGGTTGAACTCAGGGGCATTTGACCACTGAGCCATGCCCCCAGCCCTATTTTGTATTTTTGTTGAGAGGAAGGGTCTCACTGAGTTGCTTAGCACCTCACTTATGTTGAGGCTGGCTTTGAACTCATGATCCTCCTGTCTCAGCCTCCGAAGCCATGGGGATTACAGGTGTGTGCCATGATGCCCAGGTTAAAATTGGTTTTTTTGAGATCATTCAAGATAATATATTTTTAAACAATTTTCCTTATGGGAGGAAAATTAAGTCATCAGCATGGGAATCTATACCATGTAAAATCAAAGCCCTTAAGAAACCACATTATTTTGTTAAAGTTGCAATTAAAATACCAATATAGTCTTTCCCCAAATGTTACAGAAACTACATTTTTTTTGGCCAGGCTTTTTAACACACATATACACCTTCATCCATCTCTTGCCCTGGACATTGCTATTCCTGATGTTGTTTTTCCCTTCACTGTTTCGAAACTTTACACTGTATCATCTGAAGGTTATTGTTCCTCACCAACAGAGTGGCCTGTATTTTCCACACTTTCTTAACAACTCTTCTTTGGCCTGCATGTTCTGCCAGTCCCCTTGTTCTTCTTTGAAAAATTTGCTCCCCCACTGGAACCTTTCATTAGAAGAACCCTGTGTGATTTGCGGACTGTCTTCTGGCTTCTCATTGCGCCTCCTTCCTAAAACCACCAGCCCTCAAGTTGATAACCTCATATCTTGTCATCACCTCTCCCTCTGTACTGCAGTCATCCATGCTCCCTCCTCCATTTAGGTATATTAATCCCTATTTTAATCTCATTTTTAGTATTAATCCAATTATAATTCTTGATGGGATTTTGGTGATCCTCCGACAACCCTGGCCTTTAAATTTCTAGACATCCTTTACTTTAATATCTTTTCCTCTTCCCAGACCACTAGTTCACTAGCTCCCCACCTGCTCCTACTTTCATGTCCTAGATATTTTTGTCATTACCAAAAAGCTCAGCAGATTCAATTTTAAGTATTTTGCTCTCAGTCTGCTTCTTTATTGTATCTTTTGAGCACAACTCCAAATTGCTTAAACCTCTTAGGAGCTCCAATAAAATGAGTCCTATTGAAGTTTCTTTGTCTCACCCCATGCATGCCCTCATTTTCCTTTCTTCCTTCCAGTGCAGTTTTCACAGTTCACTTTGTATCACAATTTTGCAAACACAAACAACCTCCTTGCTTCTTTCAGTCCTTTCAAATATTGGCCTAGAAACATCCCACCCTGGTTAAAATCCAACTTTCTACCTACTCTATAGCACCTCTAAATTGCTAAATGTAGCTGAAGAAACAAAAATTGCAAAATAAAACTCTGTGGTCTCATTTCAAATTTATGATTTCTTACCTTAATTGGGCTCTTAGTGTTGCCTAGAAATCCTACTTCATTTCCTTCGGTTTTTACTTCCCCACTTTCCTAGATGACTTTCTCAAACCTTGTCTTTACAGGAATACTTAACATACCATCTCTCTTCCTCCGTCTCTGCTGATAACCAAACTCTTATTTCATTGAAAAAAGAAACAGAATTTTTAAATACCCTTAGGAGCATATAGATCTACCTACTTCCATCTGTGCCATCTCCTCTGTCTGTCTCTGTTTTATTATGAATGAACTCTCTGCAGACCTTCACAGACAAATGCAGCCTACCTCTTCCCTTGTGAACTAGGTCCCATCCATTTTCATGTCCTCAATTATGTTGCTTCAATCATTCTGTAATCTCTCTTGTCTGATCAGTTTTTCCTCTCTTCTTGAATGTTCTTATCATAATAGAAATACAATGCAATATTCCAGTTACTTTTAAAGAAATCCCTTGACTCTATATTTCCGTCCCTCTACTCCCTACTGTTATTCTCACATTTGAGCAGCAAACTCTCTAATTTAATCTTCTAGACTCACTCTCCCAAATTATATTCTTTCCCTTACCTCATTAACGAATTTAAAACAAGCTTTGTTCCCATCAATGCAGCTAAATAAGCTTATCATTGACCATTAGTTTCCTAAATATAATATTATTTGACCTATGAGTGATATTTAAGAGCCTTTTAAATTTTTCACTTTTTTCAATGCGAGGGATTGAACCCAGGTCTTGAAGTAAATACTCTACTAGTGAGCTACACCCTCAGCTTAATGTTTAACATTCTTACTCTGTCCATTCTCTAGAATAATTTTCTTGATTTGGCTTCCAGCAAGTTTTTAATTGACATGTGCCAACATATGCTCATTCATGCTTAGAAAGTTGAAATTAATATTCTTGACTCTGAATTCTCCTTATTTTGTATATTTTAAGAGGTACATGTGTATGTTGGCCTTATTCCTGTCACCTTGGATGATACTTGTGGGTTTCCCTTGCTGATTTCATCTCATCTCTGTTACCAACCTGCTTTAGAATGTCTAAACTAATATCCTAGCTGATATCATTCAACTACCTTGGTTTAAATACCTTCTGTATGCTGCTACATCTCATATCAGGAAGGATTCAAATAAAACAGAAGCAAAGACACAGAATCCCATAGAGTCATAGGACAAGAGATTCCCCTACCTGCTGCTCTTATAATCTTCCCAATCACCATCAATAACCACCTATCCTCTCCATTGTTCAGACCAATATGAGAAGCATTCATTGATTCTTCTCATTTTCTCCTTTATCATGTTCCATGCAGGGACAAATTGTGTCAGTTCTATCTCCACAGTCTCTTCAGAATATAAATGCCTGTCTTCAACACTGCTACCACTCTGGAACAAGCCACTATCACCAATGCTTGTTGTGTAGTTTATTAAATACTTTTATCCTTCTCTGTGAATTGCTTTTTCTCAATACTGATCTGATACTTTTGCAATATTGGTCAAATGATGACATCCAATACGATCAAAATTTCCCAATAGTTTAAATTTACTTCTAAACTGCAATGTCCTTGGATCGGTACACAAAGCTAAATTATGTAGGTCACTTAACCCTCTGAAATTTGCTTCTTTTATATGTTTTCAAGAGTCATGAATGTTAAGTCATTGGGAAAGACTCCATTTGTTTTTAATTACTGTAGTCAATATTTTGTGTGTAGGGGCTGGGGATGTGGCTCAAGTGGTAGCGCGCTCGGCTGGCATGCGTGCGGCCCGGGTTCGATCCTCAGCACCACATACAAATAAAGATGTTGTGTCTGCCGATAACTGAAAAATAAATATTAAAAAAACTCTCTCTCTCTCTATCTCTCTTTAAAAAAATATTTTGTGTGTATATATATTCCATTATATATATCCATTTCCACCGTGTTCATTTATATTTTATCATTTTATTATAAAATTATTGTACTCTCCATTTACTTAAGTATAAGCTTCATATCCTCAGGCCACTAGACAAAATACCATAATATCCACAGCATTTTGGCCACTGAGAATATACTCCAAATTTAGATATATCTATACAAAGGGGAAGTGATTCAATAAAATATCTAATTATTTTAACCATTTAGTATCATTCTTTTTCATCAGGATAGAGAAAAGCTTCAGTTTATTTCCCATGGAAGCTAACATTCTCTGGGATTTATAATGAAGGATATGAGAGCATGGGTGCATATATACATACTCATATGTATGTAAAAATATGAGTTTCAGCTCAAGAAATACTAAACTTAATTTCAACTTTCTAAAAATAAGCCTATCTTGACATATGTCATTTCAAAAAATATTGGTTTACCTTGGGCTAAGTTCATATGGGGTGAAAGGGAGAGAACTCAGAGGTCTAATAAAGAATAAAAATAATTAAGAATTCTAGAATAGTATAACCTTTTCAACCACATTATGCAATAGCTATGCATGCCAGAAAATGAGGTAAAGTTTATTAAAATTGGAACTGAATTAGGAAATCTATCTTCAATATTAATTTGAAAAGATATTATAAAATCAAGAGAGTTAATAATACTGACTTTTTAATTTTAATATCACATATATGTAGGAAAAAATAAGAGAGAAATTCAAATATCTCTATCTTTTCTGAGAGAGCAAAACCCTTTTGATTATGATAATAGAATCTAGGAGGAAATGAAGTCCTGGAATCTGGAAGCAGAAGCTGTTAAAATAACTATATAGCCATGAAATAATCAATACAAGTTTTTCCAGCTCAGAGTAACTGTGGATGATTGTTTTCCTAGATATTATGCTGCATCAACTTGTCTTGCAAAGAGATATTTTAGCCATTTCAGGCTTTCTCTGTTTTTGTTCTGAAAGAGGATTTATTTTGTCTGAATTTATTGCCCTTACTTTAAGGGGGTAGGATTTAAAGTTTTATGTCTTCACCCCAAAGGTAAAAGTGTTAAAACTGACCTTTGAATATGCATAGTGGCATTTAGATTATTATATTATTATTAAAATGAACTCTAATTTCATATGTATTATGAGACCATGACCTTTTTTATATTAGTGGTATAATGCTTTCAGAAAAGAAAAATACTAGCTGTCTCAAACTTATAAGTGACTATCAAATATAAGATGCGAATTGCTAGCTCATTCTCTTTTCACATGGGAGTACAGGTTGTACCAGAACATTTACTGATCTAATAGAAAGTCAATAAATGTAAGTACATCAGAGAGCTACTTGTAATTCCACATATCTTATGAAACTGAAATGAAGGTGTATTAACAATGGTGCATCTAATATCTAGAACATGTATGAGTTTTCATTAAATTGTTTAATTAAGATGTATTTGTCCCAGCACATACACATATAATTAATAAGTTACTACTTGAGTAGTTTCCATAAGATTGATGGGATTTTGCATATGTTTCATAGAGGAAATACAAAGATGGTTGTTTTTAAGAAAACCTACCATGTGGTATAACATGTAAGTTCTGAAAAGTGACATGTTCATTAGGGACAAAGCACTTCTAAGAGAGAGTGTTTAGGAGATTACTAGAGGGAAGTTGCTCTTTGTTCCCTTGATCTTCAATTCCAAAGACCTCACTACTACAACTATAGAAAACCTATAACTCTTATCTCTGAAACAGTATTTTTTTCAATCTAGTTCATGGCTCCTGCATCCTCTGCCTGCTCCTAATATATTTGTATTTGTTTGGAGTTTGTAAGAACCCTATTAGTCATATGTCTCTAACTTCTGAAAATATGACATTATTGTGAAAATTATGTAAAATATCAGGCAGGCATAAAAATAAATAAACAAAAATGTAATGCTAATAATTTAATATCAAAAGTTGTGGCTGTACCAATAAACAGAACTATAGTAGAGTCAATATACTGCCATCCTAAGCACAGAACAGGGTAAAATATAGGTTTTCTATGAGTCTGAACCACCCCAGAAGAAGAGTGACTATGACTGAGATAGTCAAGATATTCATGCTCTCTTCTCCTTCCAAAGTCATTAGTCTGATGGAAGAAGAGCTGAAAGAAAAGAAATAGGTTGGAGTGTTTTGCCAGATGACCTCTCCCCAAGGGGAAGGAAACACTAGCAGTTGGAGAAATTTTTCTACCTGCCTACTACCAAGAGTGTCTCCCAGGTTTTCAATCCAACTTTTGGTTCCCTCATCCTCCAAACTCTGCATCTGGAACAATGACATTTAGACCCATAGTTTTGACTATTATTAATATGTTTATAGTTACTAAATAATTGTTTTTCATAACTGTATTCCACAATGAAATTCAGATGTATGTATCTGAATGACAACATGACAAATTAATTTTGATTTTTTTCACGAATAATTTAAACAAATCTAGAATGACCATCCTCATGAGTTCTTAAAATACTCACACTAATCCTCCTGTTATTCCCAAATCCTACATTTTTACTATACAAATTACAAATCTTTTTTCCTCATGGCACATGTACTAAAACACAAACTACTGATTGTATATTTCAGGTGTTGCTAACAATTCCCTTTTCCACTCCTACTACTTCAAACTCTAGAAGTGCTCTTCACTTCTAGAGTTTCGAGATAATTTTTATACTTCTATATAGCATATGAAGATGTCACGAACAGAGTCATTAACCATCTCACTTCTATCCAGAAGCATGACAGAATAAGAAATTACCAGCTACACAATATTAAACATATGTCTTATTCATTGTTTAGTCACTGTTAGTAAATCAAATTGAAACCAGTTTAATTTAAAGAATTGCACATGAGGAACAAAAAGTATCTAGAATCAAACATCATTTCTGACAAAAGATGGTTTAGAATGGGGCCCAATGCCATGTGACAAGCTATTGCTGCAACCAAAAGACAGATAGTTATCTGCAGAAATTACCTGACTAGTGCAATATGGTGTTTGCTTTATTTGGACACAATTAAGCAACCTTCAGCCTGGGATTGATTTTGGGGTCAGTTACGAATATTGGCTAAGTCTCAGTTCCTTATCTATAAGTATTCTGCAACCTGTACATCAAGTTATCTTGCACTTCCCTACATATGGAGGCCCTTTCAGACAAACCCATTGTTTAGCTCAGAGGATGGTGGATTCCAGTTCAACACTACAGTTCATTGACATTGGGCAATAAACTAACCTTTCTAAATATCACTTTTTGCTATCAAATAGTGCTTAGATTGAATAGTATTTAAATTGCCTTTCAGTTTTAACATTTTGGAAATGTCTGCAGCTAAGTAGTTTTAAAATTGCTGCCAATGTACCACACTGAAGGATAATTAAGCCAAAAATAAAAAATAATTTTAAAAAACACAGCCAATGGATCTAGAAGCAAACAGAAATACTTTCTCACCCTCCTTATTTTTGTTCACAATAACAGAAGTAAAGTATTTTAAGGAAATTTGAAATTTACTTAGCATAAGTACTTATCAATTATTTGACTCTCTTCTATCATATTCCTGACCAAGTGTCTTTCATTCAATGAAATCCCTACTGAAAACGTACCCAAATACCAATTTAAATCTTTAGCTTCTAGTGAAACATAAATTTTTATTCAGTTTATTCCATAGTTCTACAATAAGACCATATTCAATTATTGTTACTCCTATTATTCAGGATATAGATATAAATGAAAAATTTTAAACCATATGATGCACACCATGGAGGACTTTTATCATTTTACTATCACCTATCACTTTATTTGTGGGAGGTATCTGCTCCAGAATGCATTGTGAGAAGGCTTTTTCTTCTGAATATAATTTATCCCCTGCAGAACCTGGCACATAGAAGGTATTAATTTTATTTAATGGTGAATAAGAGTTTAAATCTGAAAATGGCTAGAGAAACATTTTGTAAATGTTTAAATCACCAATCAATGTGCGGTGGGGTAAGTAGGAGGAAGGTAGCCTTCTGGCTTGCCACAATTCTCTTCTGATTCATCCAGGGCCTTCTATTCATTTTCAGGAAATTGGTCCTATTATTTTCCAAGAACGAGCATAGCATGTTAGTTCCCAGATTGTTCTTTCTAATTCTATTTAATCAACCTGAAATTGATGAAAGTTATTCACAGTTCTGGTGGTAGTGGATTTTTTCCCCTTGATTTTTAGTTTTCTATAACTTTGTGGATTTTGATCATTTGACATCTTTATAGGTACTTAATGAGGAATCTAAAGAAGCTGCCAGGAAGATGTCATTTTCAAAGTGTGCAATTCTAATTTAACATTAGGATTCTTTATTTGAGCCAAAGCAACATATTCTGTTTGATTAATACCCATGACCGCTTATTTTGATTGATAGATGCATTAGACATGTAAAAGCAGTTTTAATCTATAATAATAATCATGCTAGATATATTATTGTACTGAAGGAAATTTTTTTCTTA